TCTAAAAAAGCAAAATACCAACAGTTTGTGAGATGGAAGAATTCAAATGTAACCATAGCTGTCTTAAATGCCTTTTGACTTTGGTAGAGAAAGAGAACATCAGGAAGGAAAACACGTAATTAGAACCTTAGAATTACAAGCAGAGAGGAAGGATATTTACATACATATTTAGAATACATTCTAAAAGTTTTCCTGTTCTTACAAGCTATCTTTCAAAATGTTAGCAACTGTTATTATTGAAAACATGGAGGCCATAAAATGAGATAACAGATCTTTGGAGGATTGATTGTAGGATTTTTCATTGTAGACTATGAATATTATATTATGATTGATAATATTTTTAGAACACGTGCAAATTGTCTCTTTTGTTCTTTAGGGACAGTTAATATGGAACAGCTATTCAAAATAGCAGATAAGTTTATAATAATTTTAAGTTAAGAAATATACCTAATTATTACCTTCATTTTGTTATCCCTCTTTACCAAATGCCATGGAGCTGAAGCTGAGCAAAGCCGTAGTCTTTTGTATTTCCACAAGTGATTAATAACTCCTGGCCTGAAATTCCTATAAGTGATTTTATGTTTGAAATTTAATACTGATGAAGTATCAAATGGTTTTGGTAATATGGTTTAATATGGCCACTTTCCAATTATCAGAAGCTTTGAAGAGGCCAGCTCCAGACATGGCTTTCTCTTCTTTCAGATGTTTTTCTTCAGTGTGGGTAGCTTATGTTCCTCTATAAATAAGCTCTTTATAGAAGCAAGCAAGAAGAGGTCTTCTACTAATCTCTTGTTTCAATTTTTTAAATAATGAAAGAATTTCACTGTTGAGGTAGGTAAGGTCTTTTTTAACAAGTATACTGTAGACAATAAAGAGTTCACTATCCTGGGTCATGTTGGGTCAGTGGGTCACTGTTATATGGAGCAGACAACCACAGATCCTCGCCTTTTAAAGGAGATGCAAAAATATGTACATCAGGAAGGATCAAACTTAAAGAAAGGCCTGAAAAAAAGGAAGTGAAATGGAAAAAAATGAGGGGGAAGCTGGGGCCGAAAGGACCTCAGGTAAGAAAGCTAAACGTATACTTGTCTGGGAAAGGCAGGTAGGTTTCAGGATACTTTGTTACATATTAGAGGACGTGACTGGTGGTTTAGCAGCTTCACCAGCTGGTTTGCAGCAGCAGTCCATCCAAGGAAGTAAAAATAGTCATTTAGCTTCTCTGCCAGTTCACATTTAGGCTTGAAAGCAATTCATTGCAAGGGACTCAATTGCATTCAGTCAGTCATTTCTTTTGGACTTGGAAAAAACAAGAGAAACAGGACCAGAAATAGTCCTCTGATTGTAAAATGCTGTACACACAGGATTTAATGTGGCAAATGCAATACTTCAAGCCTTCATCTGTATGAATATCAGATGACTGAGTTGAAAACTTTGGGAAAAAAAAAAGTCAAAGCAGTCATGGTCCTCAAAAGCAGTCCTTGATCTGTCTACAAAATACTTTTTTTTCTGGAGTTTACACTGGATGTTTGTTATAGCTACAGCATTTGTACTGAGTAACTAAGGCTATGTCAGTCTTTCTATTCTGACCTGAGTTTGGCAACTTACTCCAGGCTGAAACTTATTGTACAGGAGCAAGATTTATTCTTTGCAGTGCACAAGGAATAGGCTGTGTTTCTCTATGTGACAACAGCACATTCACCACTGTGTTTTGGTACTCATTGTATTGAGGGTTTTGTTTTTTTTACATCTCAGTTTGGGTGTGACTCGTTTTAAAATCAGCAATAATGTAAAGAAGAGCTAGTATAGAAACAGTTTTTAAAGATAAATCCTAGGAAAACAGTAAACAAATATTCAACAGTAAGAAAATGCAAAATAAAAGCACTGTTAGAAAAGAATGTTAGGGGTAGAGAGGGAAGAGCTTGGAACTGCGAAATTTGCCAAGGAACACTAACATTCATGATCTAGTCTAATTTCTTTCCCAGGCTGGACCCGCCAGTGAAGTGATTTTTCAATTTAGAAACATCTGTAGTCCATCTTGTTTTTCCTTCCCCACCGTCAGCTTGATTGCAGGGAATTAGCATACAGTTACGTACAGTGCACTTCTGTTATTACAACTGACATCTAGTAGGAGTAGCACTACTTCCTGCTTGCTCCTCCTCCAAATGCTGAGAAAACTCTCTCCTTTCTAGCTCTTCTTTCCTGATAAGAAGGCAAAGGGAAAATGCTTAGGACGGAAACTTTTTCAAGTGCTCATCACTAGAATTCTGGAATAAATTCCTATACTTTACAATAGCCCTTTTTGTCACTTTTGCAATGAAGAGAATACATCCTACAAGATATGACTCGGAACATTCCTGGAACGTAACACCTTCAGTTCTCTTTTTACTTAAAATTTGCCCATGGCAGAGGGATTGGAACTAGATGATTTTAAGGTCCCTTCTGACCTAAGCTATTCTATGATTCTAAGAGTAATTGAAAAAAGGCTGATCTTTTGTATTACTGAAGAAAAAAATACCCCAAAGCTACAATCATTTCCCCACTTTAAATTGTTTCTTTCTGCTTTCTAAGAAATAATTGTTTCAAAATACTTTAACAGCCTCTGATGTACAATTGTGAAAAGAATAAAAGTTTACTGTCTGTATTCCTCCTTTTCACTCTGTCAATGTATCAGTGGGTTTTAGGGTCAGTAGAAAACTGATGAGGCCAGCAGGAGGTTTGAAGCTAATGTGATGCTATATTCCTAAAATCCTCTTCCTAATCATGTTCTTAGGAAAATGAGTTAAGCATGAAGTGTGTGCACAAGTGTATCTGTTTTACATATTTGACTAGGCTTGTTTCCTTAATTATTTATTTACATAGAATAAAACAACAACAACAAAAAAAAACAGCAAAAAAACAAACAACAACAACAAAAACAACACCTTTCTAATAGGAGAATTGATTTGTTTATCACTTAAGAAGAACAAACAGCAGTAGTTTAATTCACAATCAGATAACAAATTAGTTTGCAAAGCCACTGTGCAATTAGAGATGCTTAGGTTTAAATGCATCCCTCCTCCCTACACCTCTACACCTCTGTTTGAGAAATCCATACTTGCAACTTGTTGCAATTTAATATTGTGATTACGAACACAAGCAACTGTTAAAATATTTCCTTCATTCTTGGACTGACAGTTATTCCCATCTCTGAATAGTTTGCATTACTAACAACAGAATTTTTCTGAGTTGCAAAATAAGAGGCTGAATTCTTTTTAAAAATTGAAACAACAATTAGAAAAGCAGTAGTATGTTAGGCCACTTGCATACAGTCCTACTTGCTTGAGGTTCTAGCTTGTCAGCAAAATGTAATGTTTTTGAATGTAAGTAAGCAACTAACAGCAATCTGAAGATGGAAGAATTAACTGAATGGAACCTTGAACAAATTCACACTACCTTCACTGCCCACTGGAAATAATAACCACTGTATTTTATTATTTTTTTTAATAGATCCTTTATGTTCTTCTTCCTTCATTTCTTCATATGTACATCAAGGAGACAACCATTTCTATTTGGAAATGTAGGGTGTAAAATATAAGTGGGGCTGTTAACAACGCTTGTATTTTATTTTTTCGCTGACAAAACAGCATGCATTATTTTATTTAATTAAAATTCAAGTAAACTATTATAGAATACTTATCCAGAACTCATGGAGTAACTGAAAGAAAATAAAAAAACATGAATAAAAATTGGCATAAATAACGAGGATCTTTAAGTATAGTTCACAATTATTAAGTAAATACATTACCCTTTTCACATTCCTATTTCTTAGATACTTTCCAAGCAATAACTCCTCTGTACATGATGCTATAATAGCTCTCGGCTATGAAAACAATCTATTTACTGAATGAAATCTAAGTTCAAATGTAGAAATGCACATAAAAGGACAAATGCTCATTTTTTAAACAATTCCATGAAGATAAGATTAAAGAAAAAAAGACTTGCTGCATCTTCATCTAAACTTTCAACATTACAGATAAGGAGTATTTTCTGCCACATCACAGTATCATTCTGTTATTCTTTGATCTAATATTTAGCATTGTTTCTGGATGTATGATCATGTGATTCCTACTTTCTACGTGGCAACTAATGTAGAAACAATCTGTCAGGACTGTCATTGAGGATCAATGCTAAATGTTACTCAGCAGGATGCAGACTGTATCTCGGTGGGTGTCCTCCTACTATGCTTTGATTATGTTTGTTGTAAAGAAAAGCCTACTTGCACTTACTGCACTCATATTTCACCTCCTCCGTGGAAAACATATTACAATCTCTTGATTTGTACATGTTTCAACAATACAGACACTTTAGAAACTTATACGCAGCATTTTCAAAGATTCCTTCAGTATAATCTGATTATAAAGGGGTTATGTGACAGTTTGTCTCTGCTACTTATTGTGTGGCTTAAATCTCTGAGGACAAGCTGGCTGCACATCCACACAATTTAGAATGTGATGGCAGCTGTGGTTCAAAACTGTTCTGGAACAGTTCTAGGGTCTTCTGGGGAAGCACCTTGTTGTACACCAAGGTATGGGAGGATTTTATTCTACTTATTACTTCTTATAACTTCATTAGATAGTAAAACTACAGGCTGGCTACATAGGATAAAGATTTAATTAAACAGAGTGGTGATTTATTAACTTAAAGCAAGAAGGAAAATGACATTTTTTAAATACTTTTCTGCATGAATGTGAAGTAATAAGTCTACAAATAGATCTTCATCTACGAGCATTGATAAATAGATCAGGGTTGTATATACTGAGTGAAAAAAGAGGGATATTACATTGCACAGCAAGCTGATATATTGCATTTATGAAAGAATATTTCAAATAAACAATAGTAATTTCAGAGAGCATACCTAAGTTTTCTGTGTGGCAAAAACTCACCCATAACTTTCTGTTGCCTCATAGTGTTAGCTGTATTCAATAAAGTTTTATAACGCTGGTGCTCTGTTAAACTTCCAGGCATGAACGAATACATACCAGAAGACCCTACCATGTGGATGGAGCTGACAAGTACTCTCAAGATGATGATCTGGTAAACCTAGAAGTTCTTGATGAGGTACTGTATTTTCTGAGCTTCAGTTTCCAATCTCTCTGCCTTACATTTTCCCTGTTTCTGCTCTTTAGGTTTCTTTTAGCATAATGATAAATGTTTCTTCTGGGAAGCTTTTGTTCAGCATGGAAAAGGAGTTGTCTCGTAATCTATCTGCTATCACCATTTCTTTAGTAATAGTCTATTTAATAAGGTAAAAACAATAGAAGTGAATCCTATTCTGTGGAAGTGGTTAAATATGAGTGATACTGGTTTAAAATATTTTCTGAGTTTCCTAAAATGGAAAGTTTAGTAATGAAGATGTAGATTGAAGTGACTTTTCTAAAACCGATGAATGTACAGAGTATCTACAGCTTCTGAGATAAACATGGTAAAACAACACCAGCTGCGTATTTCATTATATCACCTATGTGCAGAGTATCTGTAAATTTCTTTTCTGAGAATCCTTAACTTGCATGCTAGTAAGAAAAATACATAATAGCAAATTATTTTAGCATCCTGTTTAAAACAGTCTCTTATTACTAGTAAAAAATGAATCATTAAAAAATTACTATCCTTGTTTCACAGTCACAGTCAAATAAAAAATAAATAGAAATGTACTGTGAAGTGCAGAAGCAATCTGTTTGGCCATTTTATCTTCACAAAGTTTACTTGAACTGATGAAATAAAGTACAAGTTAATCTGGTAGTAGGGTGTGACATTTAACTTAGTTTTATGGCTTTAGTGCAAAGTTTGAATTTTTTTTTTTTTTTTTTTTTTTTTTTTTTTTTTTTGTGTGATATTGGTTTTTGAGAAACAATTAGTAATACTTATTGTACAAACCTCTTAATTGATGTTCTCAGTATATTTACAAAAATCTCACCGACTGGGAAAATAGTGCTTAACAATCAAATTTTTTGTAATCTCAGGATACAGTTATCCATCAGCTGCAGAAACGTTATGCTGACTTACAAATTTATACGTATGTTGGAGATATTTTGATAGCCTTAAACCCTTTCCAGAATCTCAGCATTTACTCTCCACAGGTAAGAGAGGTACTGTACACTTGAAGATGTGTACAGTACTTGCTTTACATTTTGCAATAACACTACTTGCTAAAATACTTACATGATGGGAGTGCACTTCAAACCTCGGTCTTTTCTTCCTCTAAAAACTATGTCTATAAATTGTTCTCTGTTTTTACTTTTACTTTAGTCTTGTTTGATTTAATTGCTTTGTGCTTGGTGACACAAATTCCACAGGAGTGTTAAGATTGCCCCAGCCACAGCTGTTCCTCTTGTCTGGCATTTAGGGCTTTCTTCTGGATAACAGAAGATAGTTATATGAACTACCTCATGCTGAGTCTGTTGCTTTCTAAACAATTGCTCTGACTGGTTATTACATGTCCTGTGCCATCAGTTGTGGCTTAAAAGAAATCAGTGAATTGAATGCTGTAAAGCTAGAGACAGCTGAATTCTCTATGAATATGAAGAGTGGTAGAGCCATAAATCTTAGTCTCCATGGGTACCTAAGTCAGGGCTGCAGGCATAGGAACAGATTCCAGCTTCTCTTTTATCTGTGCAGTTTCTTTGGTAATAGCTGGATATTACCCTGCTTAAATGCTTCGGTTTGAAATTCTGTTCCTTGTGATACAGTTCTCCTCACCATGTTGTAAAAGAAATGTTGACATTGGCAGTACCAAGAATTACCACTCTTCAGTCAGAATTTTGCAATAGAACAGGCAACTACTGACTTTGTCGGTTAGCAGGCAGAAGATACCCAGTATTCTCCTTTTCAGATCTTAACTGTATTGTTAAATTCTGTATTTTTACTGCTGTGGTTTTTTTTCTTAATCTAGTTCTCTAAGCTTTACCATGGTATGAAGCGCTCGTCCAATCCCCCCCACATATTTGCCTCTGCAGATGCTGCCTACCAAAGTATGGTGACATTCAGCAAAGATCAGGTAAAAATATTAATTTTGTTATAGATATCACATTAATCATAGTGCCACTTTGCTATAGATATAGCTTAAGTTCTGTTATGTTGTGCTTTGAGATTTTTTTTCTGTAAGCCTTTTATTCCTGTATATGAAAAACAGCAAAATCTAACTGGGACTTTTGAATACAATGTAGTGACATAAAAGATCATATACAAGGTTAAGTGGGTCAAATAGAAGTGTTACCTAACCTTAGAGTATCCTGCATACTCATGGCGGCAGTTGACAGCAGTCACAGGCTGTTGCAATACACTTTGATTCTAGCCTGTCTTGCTTTAGATATCATAATCATTTTTACCTGTGTAAAATAAGGGAGTCTCAGTACTTCAGCAGGTTGACCAAGTTTGAACTGCTCTTCCATTGCATAAAGCAGAAAGCAATTTAACAAGCAAGGAAGAAATGTAATGAGTATGCACATCCTGCAGTTATTTTAATGAGAATGAAATATTTGGCTGCAGAAGTTAGATTCCTTTTTATTACATTCTTAAAATTGTAATTTTGCAGTCTTTCTAACGTGATGTGTTGTATGTACATGAATACTGGGGCCTAATAATTGTGTGTTGTTATCTGGAGAAAAAAATCAATTTTGTCATCAGCACATGAAGCTAACTTTATAGATTTTTAATATAAAATATCCTTCCTATCTTCTTAGGAAGTAATTTGCATTTAGATCTAAATCTTTATGCAAAGATAGCTAATAATTACTCGTAGGCATCCAGGCATGTTTGCTAGCTTATATAGTTTGCTATTTGCAATGGTTTTTATCTCCATTAACTGAGAAGTTATGCAGGTTCTTCAGGTAAAGATGGACTAGATCCCTGGTGTAGTTAGAGAAAAAATGTATTTATTCTTTTTGTTTATCCATTCAGCCTTCCCTTGTATTTTCCTTTGAAGCCTGAAAATTGACTATAGGTCTAATGTTTCTAGGGAATCTCAAGTCGTGTTCTGGCTAGTATGAGTAATGCAGGAACTCATGGGCCTTAAACTGTGTAAACTGTTGTATGTGACTCCCCTGTTAAGGTAGATTAAGACAATTTCAGGTAACACAAACCTATAAATACATTGATGTTTTATTTGCTGCTTCATGTGTTATTTAAAAACAAAACAAAACAAAAAAAACAGCTGAAATTCCTCCATATATTCCAGGATGGAGATGGAATAATAGATAATCTTTCTGTGGGAGTGTAAAAATGTTGTCTGGAGAAATGTTATCCCTTCCAAATCATCACAAAGCTTAGTTCTGCATCAGTCATCACTGTATCAAGTATTCTAAAACCCTGCCTCTTTTCCCAGCAAGATCTTTTATATTTACTGTAGGTCAGGTAACTTCAAGCTAATCCCTGAGTTTGTAAGCCTTTGGATAACCTATAAAATACTGTGTGTTATATGCAGTCTACCAAATCAAGAAGAATATGGACATGTTCTCCCAGAATCACTCAATGAACATATGCATATTTTTCTGAAATGTTTAGGTTTGTTGTTTTAGTCTGAATATCAGCATCATGTACATGATGATCTCTATGCAGCAACAAACCTTATCATTGTTTTCAGTGCCAGGAGCAAAATTTTGGTTAGTGTATTAAATACAGCTTTACCTTGGTTTTCCATTAATTTATGTGAACTCATGAAATTAGCTCAAATGCACTGATAATTAAGTCACGTGAACTAGCAGTGGCAATCTTTTGATTTTTACAGGCTGTGTATGTGCATAGCATGCATTAGCTTTGTAGATAAGGTCATTCCTTTCTATGTCTCAGAGCTTAGAATTTTACTCACTCTTTCTCATGTACGCACATTTCTGTCAGGCATTGCAAGATACAGTTTATAGAAACGTAGAATAGCTTAGGTTGGAAGGGACCTCAAACCTTAATTTCAGTTATCTAAGGAATAAAAGAATGATTGCGGTGAGCCTCTACAGACCTTTCAGAAAGGGCTTGACAGATCTTACTCCTAAGATATTTTACAGTCTTGGTACTAAACATTAAGTAACAGATAGGAGCAACAGATGAGAATCTATTTATTGACCATGTGGTGAACTCTACACTTACTGTTTTATTTGTATGTTCAGTGCATTATCATCAGTGGGGAAAGTGGTGCTGGAAAGACAGAAAGTGCCCATTTGATCGTCCAACATTTGACCTTCTTGGGAAAGGTATTTCTAGCAATTATGTAAAACAATGAATAAATGCTACCCACTCCCTAGCGTTTCCACTTTATTGAATGTTTAATATTAAAAATTGTTCTTGTGAATTAACCCACTTGAGTCAGGGACAGAGTAATCAAGCATTTGTAAGCACTGAATCATGCCATTAGGGTATGACCTGCACCAAGCCATTTCACTGCAGGAGAAAGTGACAAATTCCAAATGTTCAGTGCCTGTAATTATCTGCAGTGTTAATGACTTACATAACACTGTTCATGTGTACAATAAAACATAACAGATCTTGCTTTGGCTCTGATCTTGGAAGCTCTTATGTTTTTAAATGTTCTGAGTAGTGTTACTACTGCAAAATAGTGTGGAAATCAAGTGTGTAAGTTTAACAAGTGTATGTGTTGGTATGATTGTTTTCTTAGGTAATATTCTTTTTGTTCAGTTTTTGGTGGCTTTGTTGCCTTAACTAAATTTTATGAAGCTTCAGAGATAAAAGAGTTGCAGAGAAGGAAGAATATGGTTTTCCTTACCTGTAGGTGTTTTCCCCTTCAGTGTATGTTTTTTATTATGTAAATAGGAAGGTTAATGGAGTATCTAACTCCATAAGAACGGGATAATGGGATATTATGCTTCTTAAGCAGCGATTGGATTGTGAGTAGGCAATATATTCCTTTAATGGTCCTTCTGATTCATATCTGTTCTGTCAAGGCCAATAATCGTGCTTTGCGTGAGAAAATTCTTCAGGTGAATCCTCTGGTTGAAGCATTTGGGAATGCCTGCACTGCCATCAATGACAACTCAAGTCGCTTCGGAAAATATCTGGAAATGATGTTCACACCCACAGGAGCTGTAATGGGGGCAAAGATTTCTGAGTATCTACTTGAAAAGTCAAGGGTTATAAAACAGGCTGTGTAGGTGCACTGATCATCTGTCTTTTCACATTTTTGTAATGTTTAGATTCTGTTTAATTCCCTAAAAACTCTATTTAAGTGCTTCCAATAGTGTCTCCTGCTGAAGCAATAATCCTTGTGCAGTACAATTAATGACAAGAATAGTTTGGTTCTTTTGGACCAAAAGCCAAACCTGTTCTGTTCTTTTTTAATAATGTTATTATCTGGAATTTCTGTTTTACAGCTGAAATAGTTATCTTTGGGCTTCCATTAGTATTGGCCCTGATCGTTTGACACCTGTCTCAATGAGCTCATGATAAAGACTTTTGCTTTTACCTTGTACAAGGTACTGCAAATATGAACATATGCGCTGTATAGAACATGCTTTTCTTTTTTTTAGGGGAGAGAAAAATTTCCATATATTTTATTATATTTATGCCGGCCTTTATCATCAGAAGAAACTTTCTGAATATAGGCTTCCTGAAAAAAAGCCTCCCAGGTAACTATCACTCACATGTTTTGACTACTCATTATAATTATCTATTGAACAGCTCTTGCTTTCAGTATGATTTCTTCAAGTCTGTCATAATCCTTCTGTATCCCTGAAGGATCTTTTTTTAATCCTCTCATGTGAAAAAAAAAAAAAAAAAAAAGGATGGACTTACAGGAATTACAGTATTTGTATTAAAAACTTGAACCATTTAAAGAGAAGGAAGAAACATTACTGCATAAATATTTTATCATACGTTCAGATCAGGACAGTTACCCTGTGCTTTCAGTTCCAGTTCAGGAACTCCAAATATGTTTTGAACTTGTGTTTTTTAATTGGTATTTGTACCTAGAGAGCACCTAGTCTTTATGACTTCTGTATTCTGAGTTCTGTATCGGTTGAGATCATGCAGTAAAATGTTAGTAACACTATGAACAGATTATTAACAAAGAATAAGCAAAAGGAACTGCAACAGAAACAAAAACATCTTATCAATCAGCACTAAAATATTTAATTGAAAGATATGAATAAATGCTTTTTTCAATTAATGATGTATTTGCATTATAGTCACTGTAGGTTGTTCTGACTTATCACCTATTTAGAGCTTTCTTTCACTCTGTTTAGATATATTGATAATGAAACTGGAAGAGTAATGCACGATATTGTTACTAAGGATTCCTATGGAAGACAATTTGAAGCAATTCAGCATTGCTTTAGAAGTATAGGATTCACTGATGAGGTAAGATATCCAGTTGCTAAACCACTGTTGACCTTCCTGAAACAACCTCCAGTGTTGCTTGTGCTTAGGCTCCCACTTGGCTGTGTGAATATACAGCATGCCACAGAATCTCTCTTATAACAGAAATGAATTATGAAAGTAAAACCAAACACCTGGAAGCCAGGACCAGTCACAGCTCTCTGTATTGGGGCAAGTCCATTCACATTTCTGTAGAATCTTCTTTCTGTGTAAATAACAACTTCCTTCAATTAGAACTAGATCTTTGGACAATCTACAAACTTTAATCACCATCCAATGCTCACCTTTTTCTTTCATAAACTAAGTTTTATGTACATATTTGATTGGATTCCTTGAGGGTGCTTTTTGTCATTTTTACAGGAAGTGTATTCAGTGTACAGAATTCTGACTGGTATCTTAAATACTGGAAACATTGAGTTTGCTGCCATTTCTTCACAACACCAAACAGATAAAAGTGAAGTTCCAAACCCAGAAGCCTTAGATAATGGTAACTACATTTTAACATGATCAACTCTACAAATGCCATTGGACTGTATTTGTGAGAATCTGTAACTTGTGGTAATAGGCTATGCTAGTGATGTCCTCAGAATAGTCATAATTTATATATATATTCCACACTGTCTTTCAGCTGCTGCACTGCTAAGTATTGGGTCAGAAGAACTGCAAGAGGCCCTAACCTCCCACTGTGTTGTAACACGGGGGGAGACTATTATCCGAACAAACACTGTGGACAAAGCAGCTGACGTGCGAGATGCCATGTCTAAAGCTCTTTATGGCAGACTCTTCAGCTGGATTGTAAATCGCATTAATACGCTTCTTCAGCCAGATAAAAATATATGGCAAGTTACACATCACTGAATCATTTGTATTTACTGTGCATCTGTCTTTGATGGGTTCATCCATTTGTATATTTTTTGATTTTGCAGAAGAAATACTGTGTTTATTTTAGCTAAGACTTCAAAATGACTTTCATGCTGTGATACTGTATTCTGTTTCCAGGATATTAACCCAACATTCTCAAAGAACTGAGTGAAATTTAGCTACTGAAGTCAATGAAAATTGATTATTAAAATTATATAAAATTCTTTAAATAGATGCTTTGCATGTAGAGAACGTTAAGATCATACCAATGGCCAGTAAGTATTTGAAGTGCGCTGAAAACATTAGTATGTTTGCAGAGTCCTTCCAGTACTTCTGTCATTGTAATTTAGTTGTAAATACTGATCGAGTTGTAATTGATGGTGTTTTCATTGTCAGATAGTGATCTGGTTGCTTTGCTCCTTTACTGTAGAGATTTCTAAAATAAGAGAACCCCGTAGGTTATGTAAAAATGTCTTTACTAACTATGGTGCTCTTGCTTCCATGCTGGGAGACTGGATAAAGCAAGGAGGAAAACAGTGCTTTAGTGGGACATAGAATATGTGGAGTAATTATTGCAAATATAACTTAAGGATGCTAGTTCTGAATTCCACTAGAGGTAATTTCACTCATCCTTGACAGTGCTGAGATAGAGAAAGGTATCTTCAGATTTTTTAGACCTTCAGTTCCCCTTCATTGCACTGAATATAAACAGTTGCTATTTCTGACTGTAACCTGAGTCTCTTCATCTTATGCAGGAGCCGAAGTGAGAAGTTTAGCATGTAGCATTCTGCCTTTCGGAGCACGTCTGCATGACATGTGTTGTTATGTACAGACAGACTGTGAATGAACCTATGTATTGCATTATTAGTGTAATTCTGTGCCCAGGCTCTAAGTAAATAGGTTGTACTTTTTCCTTGTCTTAGAGATAGCTTGGAGATCCCTACTTTTACTTTCTTATACCCTGGAGAAACACAATCCACACTTGTACTTCCAGTGATTACTGTTGTCTGAGTGTACATAATCTAGCAAGCTAACACATGATGTTTTAATAATCCTGCTGTAGCAGCAGATTTGGTAATTGTCTTGCTGACTGGGTGTAGCAAAAACATGCTAATAGAGCTTGGCACCTTTCATTTACCTGGAGGATCTGTGAGTAGGTTTGGTTCAGGGTGTGTTTATTGGAACCACTTATTTTATTTCTGAAGCCTGTTATTCAGTAGTTGTGATTCTCTTTTTCTTCTTCATGGGAGTTTGTAAAAGACAAGCAGAAAACCCAAAGTGTTAATGATTCTCAACAAATTGTTATAAATTCGAATATACTTTTTCTTCTATGTTTTTGCAGCAAATTGAATTGATTGTGCCATCTTAGTTACCATGTTTATTTTGATTGTAACTAGATGTTGCCCATACTGAATTCTGTTTAACTTTCCACATGCAGCAATACTGAAAATGGAATGAATGTTGGTATACTAGATATATTTGGATTCGAGAACTTCTCAAGAAATTCCTTTGAACAGCTGTGCATAAATATTGCTAATGAGCAGATCCAGTTTTATTTCAATCAACATATTTTTGCACTTGAACAGGTAAATAAAGCTCTCATCAAGTTTAGTTGAATCTGTCATCTTGACCCATAGATTATATTCAGGAATACATTATTAACTATAAAGTGGTTGTGGGATTTAAATGTATGTAATGTTCACATCTTTCAGCATAGTTGTTGCTGTTTTGTAAATAATGTTGTGGGGCCTACAGAGTATTCCTATGCATCATAAATGTCCTAGTGGTTCAATATTAAAACTTTGTTGATTTTGTAGATGGAATATCAGAATGAGGGAATTGATGCTGCTACAGTGGAGTATGAAGACAATCGTCCACTTCTAGATATGTTCCTCCAGAAACCCATGGGTCTCCTTTCTCTACTAGATGAAGAAAGTCGATTTCCTCAGGCAACAGACCTAACATTAGTTGGTATGAGCAAACAAAAGTCCTGGCAAACAACTAATGGATTTTGAGAGTCTGATGTGATATCTTTACTTAAGCTTTTCTGGTCTAATTGTCCTACTGAAGCTGTACCATTTTGTTTGACAGTTTGAGTGTATTTTTCATTATGCTTCACCATGCTTCTATGCTTCACATGTTTTTTATATTGCAGAAGTTATTTTGCATATATTGTGTCAAGAGCTTGTATTTTCAATGTTTTAAGGAAATAACCTCTGTGTTTTCCCTGTACATGAGGTACATCAAGAGGCTTTTATCAGCATTTAAAAGGAAAAGCTGAGACATAGATGAACTTGTGTCTAGGACCACCCTGTGAGTTATCATTAGTGTTGAGAGTAAAACTAAGATCTCCCAGGATTGTAGGCCCATGTTTATCCAATTAGAAAATATTACTTCACTGCAGATTATCTCATCATAACTAGAAAGTGTGTGTTATTTTTTGTGTGCCATCTGGCTGAATATTTCCCTTCCTTCATGCATAGTTTACGCATGTCTTAACAAATCTGGCACAAACTTTAAAACACGTAGTGCATGTTATGTTTAAAAATGTTTTCCTGCTTTTATTTACTAGAACTTCATATTTCCTTGTAGTACGTAACAGAATTTCAGTTTGTTCAATCAAACATTGCAGCAGGGATTCAAACACTTAAAGAAAAATTACAACTGCCTGGTAAATTGCATGATATACGTACAAGATTTTTCACTTCTGGGCTGCAACTTGAAATGAGGCCAAAGGATGGTTTCATTCCAGTCCTTATTTGTGTCCTAAAGCTGTGAGCCTCCCTGGGGATTCTATGAAACTGTTAATCTCAAATATTGAACTGCACTTTCAAAGTGTCAAGGAGACAGCAACTAAGATATTTTGCCCACTCTTTATGTGCCAGATTATCCCTAATTCACACCCTCCCCACTCGTAATCTGCCCCCTCTCTTGTACAGCAACCTGCTCACATTCTGAGTTTAATTATTTTTGATTTAATTACAAGGATTCTCAAACTCGATTAAACATTAATAGAAAGAAAACATAGAAAGAAAATTATTAGAAAGAAAATAAAATGTTAATGGATTATAATATCAGAAAAAAAAATATCTTTGTAGTAATTTCTGACCTACATAAAGCGAAAGATAATTTTGCCTGATGAATCTGGCCGTGAATTTCTAGTTGCATGTGCAGATAAGGAAATACAATACCAAGTTTTACAGTATCAGCACTAGTTCCTTTTTTCTGTCAGCTCTTCAGAGCTATGTTGAAAGAAACAGAAAGATTTTAGAGAGGTTTTTTTTTTTTTTTTTTTTTTTCTGTAGGCATACAAAGGCAATTGGGATATGGTCCCAACCTGAAAATATTTACTTATAATTAAAACATGATGCACAAAGCAGAACAAATAAAACTCTCCCTGTTCTCTATTTCCAGTGCACAAAACTCTGCCAGAATGGGGTTTTGAAGTACCTTATTACAGGGCTAGTTTTGAATTGAGTTATTCCATCCAGTAGTAGCAGCTTGGAAGAAAACATGAAGATGGCACATAGTTATTACTGGGTAATCTGACGATAGATGTTCTTACAGTAGTTCTTACAGTAGATGTTCTTACAGTAGATCTGAGTTCTCAAGCAGGAAGCAGGCCTTAATTAGGATCAAGATTTTGCTTAATCCCTGTAATTCATTTTTATCAACTTCACTTCTCAAATGTTTAGATAAATTTGAAGATAACTTGCGATGCAAATACTTCTGGAGACCAAAAGGAGTGGAATTGTCATTTGGTATTCAGCACTATGCTGGAAAGGTGAGGTCATGTGATTTTTATTTAGTTAAAAATCTAAAAATAGTTTGTAGTCATTATCTGTTTTAACTGGAGTTATTGCTTTTTCCTCTCTTCAATAGACAAAATGATAAAATTTTAAGAAACAAAGAATCTATGATAAAATTTCTGTGTGAAGTAGTCCATTCTAGAACCTATCCTTAGGGCTCTATTAAAAATTAGATGGACAGAAGCCACTTTTTGTCCTGAAAGAAGTCTGGCACCAGAAACACCGTCACTACGATATTTGTAAAGGAACTCTGGAACGAGTACAGGCTATGCACTTTTTAACATTGTGTGAATACCACAGATATTCTGTGTGTGATCATATATACATAAGTATTTGTGTAAAGACAGTGTGTAACGGTGTCTGCAATAGAACTTAAAATCCAACAGAGATCACTGGAAAGACCGAGTGGTAATTTTTGAGTAATTTTTTCTAGCACACTCCACAGCACCTACCTTGCTCTCTGCAGTTCATCTGTTACTTTATATGGGAATGATTGTCCAATTGTTTCATGTAACATGAGCTATGCTTGTGAGGTGCATGAATCTTCGTTCACAAATAAAGTGAAAATAAGTGTTTTATTTAGTTATTAGTAAAGTCTATCCTGTGGCTTATTATAAAGAGTAAAAAATGTTACGATATGCTCTAGTAAACTTAGTCCAGCTTTCTGACCTGTTAAGAATAACTGTAACATTTCACACAAGCTTAATAAATTCTTTGTTCCTGAATGGCCAAGTCATAAAAACACTACTGACTAGCTGTGAAGGCAAGCACTCAATTTCTCTGGACTCCCATGGAATTGGGCTAGAAAGGAATATTGCTGGTAATAATAAAACCAGCTTAAATATTAAAGCAGCTTTCTTAAAGAAAATAAAGAAGGATAAAAGTAACAGATTCGTATATGATAACAAATAGCCAGACATTAATTTCTATAAAATGTAATAAAAGTAATTTTTTAAAAAGCAAAATTAAATTGTCCACTGTAAATAATCAAAACTCATGTGCCCTAGCACGTGGAAAGAAATTATGAATGTTTAATTTTTCTACTAACATTCACTAACCTGTTTAACAGGGTTCTTGATTTTGATCTACGTCTGAAACTTACTCCTGTTCCCATAACAAAACTAGTTACCAATCAGTTTGGTGCAAGCAATAAATAAATTTTGACTGCCTGGGAACCATTTCTTATCTCACGTGTACACTGTTGACTTAAGCTTTAATGAGGTATCTCTGTTATATTACTTCATGCATCCCATAGTTTGATGTGACAAACCATAATATAACATGACTAAAACCCAATTTAACCCAATTTGATCTCCACTGTGTAAATGTAATTAATGCAAGTGTTTTTGGTTTGTTTTTAACACTGTTCACGTGTTGAAGACAGTGTGTTAGCTGTACACTTTCAAGTCCTTTGCAGGTGTTATTTTTGTGGAATATTTTTTGGCAACATATCTGACCCTATTTCCCATGCTAGGTATTATATGATGCCTCTGCATTTCTTGAGAAGAATAGAGACACTCTTCCTGCTGACATAGTGGTGGTGCTAAGAACATCAGAGAACAAACTTCTTCAGCAGCTGTTTTCTAGCCCGCTAACCAAAACAGGTACTTTCTGCAACAGTTTTGCTTACTTCGCAATATTTTCAGCCACCTCCTCCTTTGAAAAATCTAGTTCTTTCTGTACAAACCTCTGCTTTTCAGCTCTTTCTGCTGTTGTAAGTTTCCTAGATATCTAAAGTGTTAAATAGTAGTACTATCGATATATATTTTTTTTAAAAGTATGTTGCCATAAACCCAGGAGGCAAGATTCATTCGCTAGTCCAGAGAAAGGGAGATTATATGGTGTTTAGGGCAAGAACTCATTTTGAAAACAGAATGAGAATGTGTTTTTGTTCTTTGTCCTTTGCTAAGTTCAGTTCAGTTGATATATTCTTGTGTAGCATTTCTTACAATTTCTAAATCCTGTAATGTTGGTTGTTAGTTTGGAGATAATACCCATCTGTTTAGATTCATCGGTGCAGTACCAGTTTCTTCCAAATTTTAAAGTATGCATACTGATGTGCCAGGTTTCATAAATTCCATTTATCTTAAGCTTGTTGACACTGACTTACTTCAAAGTGCACAGATGTGCGGCTAAATAAAATAATAAGATAAAATTTGCTTTTTCCATGGATTGTTGTCAGAATACTACCGACGTGTACAAATGCAGTATACATGCCAACAAGACAAGAAATGTACACATTAAAAATGTCAATCAATGCTTTCCGTGTTCTTAAAGAGTTTTTTTCATAATTAATAAGAAAAAGATGTAACAATAAGGAATAATCCAAATACAGTGTGTTGTATTACATTGCAAAACTATTTTGGTCTGATATGATATAAACAAGTGTGGTGGTTGTATTTCTACCAAAAACGCTCTGGGTAAAAAAAATTGTACATGCACTAGGTAGTGCTGTGTATAGACTGTAGGTACAGTTCAATGTTTGTGCAGCATATCTGTCTGTGATTTCTGGAAACTCAGTAGTCCAGTCACAGCCTCTGGTATTGCCCTCTATCTATCTTGAGACTTCTACATAGAAAAAGAACATCTGGAGCAACATTCTTTGCACATGTGTAACTGATAGCAAAATATCTGTTATATATAATATATTCTACATATGATAGATTCCTACCAATCTGTTCTTTCCTGCAATTAGAAGGCTCTGGATTATTTCCCTTCAAATTACAATTTTAGAGAACCCTGAGAGGTGAGAATCCGCTGAGGAATCTGCTTCTCCCTTCAGCTGTGACAAGCTTAGACAAAGGGAGATGTAGGTTAAGATAGAGTAAGATAGTTTATTGCCTAAGCAGGAAACACAAATCTTTGAGTCTATTTCTTCTGACATTTGGGTCCTTAGCATAGACTGGTAGAAAGGATTTCTTATGCTGAATGGGTCAAACAAAGCTAAAAATAAAGCTGATATTGGGTCAAATGTGCCTCACCTCCCTCTTTACCAGCCATTTTCTATGTTGGAGCTGATGTCAGAATGAAACGGATTACGTATTTTCTCCCAGTTATGAGTCACAATTATTGCAAATACTGTAGGTAGGCTTGATTTCATGCAAACTTATCTGCCTCTGGCTTTCTAGAGGTGCTTTCAGTGACAGCAGGACTAAACTGAGAATTTTACCCAACGAGCATGAAAGGTTCAGGAAGGAAATACTTCTCACTGCAGCAATGAATGTTTACCATGTTGGCGTATTACTACTCTTCTCTTCCTATTTCCTATTTAAATGAATTGAGTGGTTTCTGCTTCCCATAATAGGAAGTTCACCTTTCCATGGAGTACAAGAAACAAGTTGAATCTATATTTCTCTCAAGTCAATATGGGACATCCTGGTAAAAATCATTATGCATATGTTCCTATGCATGATGCTTTAAGAATATCTTGAATCTCTTAGATCATTTCTGTTTTTTGAACATCTTTGTGATTTTTGCTCTATTTTTTCCAGCTGTCTAATATAATTGGCACCCACATCCTGTTTTGGGGCCTGTGTGTTCTAAAATCAGATTGTTGCCAGGTTTAGTTCTGGCAGCTTGCAAGATAAATGAAAGGTTTGGCTGAGACAGAAGGTATAACTGGCAATACTGCTTCATCTCTGCAGTGAAGAAAGGTAATGCTATTCACCTAACTTTCTACAAAGAAGCTTTTGTAAACAAAAGAATAGTGACCGTGTAAATTTCCCATCATGCTCTGCCCTTGCCTTTAAGCCTTATTCCCTCCACTCAGTATGTACTTCATTTCTAAAGCCAGAAAATATACAGATTAAGATTCATGATCTCGATACAATTTTCTTCAGCTTTCAGTAGATTACTGACTGATGTGAAAGTTAATAATTTACATGGAAGCCATATTGCATCCCTCCAGGTAACCCTGACTTGAAGTGAGCCTTCTGCCAGTATCTCTGGTGTTTTGTTTGAAGATGAGTGACAGCACATTCTCACATCTGCTTGCAACTAGCTCTGGAATTTGCAGCATACATGGTTTTTGCCAAGCGGCTCTCTCAATTTGCCTAAGAGTCACTAGGTGGTGCTATCCCAGAAGCAAGAGAGAACATGAAACTATTAACACGGGTTTGCGAGTTACTGAAACGTAGTTCTTAAATACCAGTAAGAACAAAAAGATGCCTTTCCCACTCGGGAAGACCTAGTGTTTGAAGTATATTTATATAACTATCATTTCTTCCTCTGTCAAAAACTTAGCAGCTGCAAGAAAATAAATATTAATAAGACTAAGTTCTTACACTAATTTAAGATCACATTAATCCCTGTAATTTATCAAACATACTTATCCCCTCTTAACAAATGCTTCTGTTTCACAGTAGAAGACTGTGTAGTTTAAAAGGCCAGAAATTAACAGCAGGGCTTTAAATGCACATTTGTAATAGCGATTTATGGTTGAAAGTACGCAGAATTAGTGATATAGATGTCAGAACTTAAACATTCTGGGATTAATTTTATAGATTGCCCAGCTTGTTTTTCTTCCTTCAGTGGAAAATTAGATGCATTGAGTGCAGTTTGGAGTCTGATTGCATTTTCTAGGGACCTGAATGAACATACTCTTATTTAACCACCCAGTTCTCTCAACTGCTGCTAGATTTGTCACTTTTTCTACAAGCACAGTTTTTTTTAGTGCTGAGGATTCTGTGTATTCTAAAACTAAAATGAAATTTACTCCAAATATGAAAGAGAAACAGAGCATTTAATAAGCCTGCCGCTACTCCAGTTGAATATGCATGTTCCCATTTATAAGGCATTCCTGTTTGTAGTGTTGGTTTATTGCTATCACGACTAAAGCATCAGAGAGGAAATAAATCATGCAACCTATAGAAGAGTCCACTTGAAAGAGAAGTGAGTTTAATGGAAAAGATTAAGGAGAGCTTGGTACATTCACTACCAGTAGTAGTGAGGAGTCAGACCATTTGACTCTGTTCTGATACTTCAGAATTTTTGCAGTATCACATTTAAATGCCGATATCAATAGAGTGCTTGAGGTTTTTAAAACCCCTGGGGTCTCTGTGACTGTAGCTTCTTCCTCCAGTTTTTGCACTCACTTTATGTTCCCCAAATGATCTGACTGTGGGGAGGTATGAAGGTGCAGATTCCTCAGAAAAGTTGAAGCATATCATTTTATATTTTTGAAACATAATCCCTGCAGACTTTTTTTCCCCTCTAAAATTCACAGACCCTTAGAGCTTTTGTCACGGTGACTCTGTTCTACCTTAGATCCTTGCTGGAGAGATAGAGAGTTGCCACCTGGAGGGAGGAAAAGAAAAATACTCTGGCCTTCCACTCCCAAAACAGTAACAACAGAAACGTTTCTGTCACAGTTCTGAGGCTGTGTACAGATTGGGCTTGGCTATGTATATTAGACTGAGCTGAGCAAGAGTACAGCCATAACAGCATCACCTCTGGTGCTTTTGGTAGCATTGGGTGTTGCTCTCACAGTTAGTGTACAATTTAGATACAATGTGAGGTTAATAAGATCATCTTGCTCAAAATCCCTAGATACGTGAGCTAGAGAACTGAAAGTGAAAGTTTTCAAAACCTTCACCATAGAGTTAGGATATTTTAACAAGGGAAAATCTTCAAAGTTTGAGGAAAATATGTTTAAAAAAAAAATAAATTAACTAGAGTTAACCTGCTGAAAGGTTGCTTCCTCTCCCCAGTATTGATTTTTTGTTTATTTTACTTGTGCTTTTACATCTCCTGCCCTACATACAGCCATCAGACAAAAATTAATGATTAAAAACAATGTATATCCCATTAAAAAAAAATAAAAATAAGCAAACAGACTACATGCTGAGAAAGTCTGGCACATATTATTCCCATTCTTTCTTTTTGCACCTTAAAGCACACAAGAACTAGGACTTTTTGCAAAATCACATTAAAGAATTAAATTTCACCATTCTTTGGCATTTTCTATTTCAGCTCAATGAAAGAAAACTACTGGGCACAGGGTAAAATCTTGGCCAATCTTCAGGCTTTGACAGTGTTTTCAATGGAACCCATTACTGCACTCTCCTACTGAACACAAGCACGTCCTCTGGCACTAGGTAGTGGAGAGGCTTCTGGTTTGGTCTAAGTCAGACTTGTTTACTGAAATATAGCGTGTTTTCATCTGGGCTTAGCGGCTTTTTCTTTTAATTCAATACATCACAGAGTGAAAATCTTAAATACATCTTAATTTTGCAAATTTATCCTGCAGTAAATTCTACTTATAATGGCACTTTTGTGTTAGTATTTTCACCTCTAGGAAGTAACTGCAGGCAGTCTAAGTCAAATTAATTGGGAGAAAAGCCATTGTAATTATAGTCTCACTACTTACAGATGAATCAGAATTTACATTTTCTAAGAATTTGGATCAGGTTAATGGAAGCTGTATATTTTAGCTCAGAACAGAGGCTTTCCTACTTCTGGCTGGTCCATATGTTAAAGGCATATAAAAGTTAATCAGTTTTGCTTTGCTGCCAGTGTGTTGTGTGCAAAGAGAGGCTTTAGACCACAGATGTGCAACGTAACATAATTGAGAACTTTACTGAATTGCAGATGTGGAACATCAGTA